TTATTATATATAATTAAAAATAAAAATAAAAATAAAAATTTCAACATGGTAAAACAAATCCTAATGTGTCGCCCCCTCCCTCCACTTCTCATTTGTTTCTTCTTTGTTTTTCGTCTTCTTCATTTTTCTTTTTTATTTTCTTCTTCTTCGTTCTTTTTTTTCGTAAGTTTATATTTGTTTATTTTTGTATTTTTTTGACTAGTTAGGTTTTTCTTTATTCAAATATTGTTCATATTGTTAGATTTATGGAGGTTAATGATTTTTACACTTCTCTTGAAACATTTTAAGTTATCGATTTAGGGTAATTTAAAAACACACGTAGTTTGCTAATTGTTTTTTTCAATAAAAACATGTTTTCTCTGTTTGAAACCCTAATTTTAATATGCCATAGCATGTGAAGAATTAGGGATCGAAGAAATCTAACACTTTTGACTGCATCTAATGGTTGCTGAATTTTTTAGATTCGCGTAGAAAGAATCTTGGAACGGTAATACTTCTTTTATTCTATAAGAAGAATATCATTTTTCATTTTTGACCGTCCCAAAACAAAGGGTATCATTTCTTAATTTTTTAATTGTATGCCATTACTTTTATATTATACAATCTAATAAGGATATTTTTGTATTTTTCACTACAAACCAATATAATACTAATATTAAAAAATCTACGTGCAAAAAGCAAATGATGCTGATTTTATAGGACAGAGATAGTATATCAATTAGCCTACTTGTGCAATACAGAGTAGAATAGTGAAATTAAAGCTGTGTTATTTTCTTAAAACAGTTAGCAAACCAAATTTGGGCATAATTTTTAAAATATACACTCTTTGGCAATTTTTTTAATAATACTTTGTAATTTATGGTAGAATGCTTAAAACGGAAAATTTTGGGCAAATTAAAGGACATGGATTGAGATAGGGGTACCTTTTTCCAAAACAAAATGAGAGCCCTTATATTAAATCTTTGTTTATGTTTCCTTGACTAGATCAACCTTATGTATTAACACTGTATATTATCTTAGGACAATTGTGGGCTTTCGGATTTGGCATAGAAGGTCGTTATGGCTGACCTGAAGAATGTGTAGCGCCATTGGAAATGCATCATTAAGTTTACATACTTCACACCATACGAGAACGACGATGAAGCACTGAAGAAAATGCCCACCGATCAAATTTTCATTGAAGAATGACCGTTGCTTATCTAGTATTGCAAGAACGAGAAGGTTAAGGCAAGTTACATTCCTCCCTTCATCATTTTTGCTCTTGTCATGCTACTTATACTACTTCAATTCATCTTAGTCGGTGTTCATAGGATGTTGCAAGGAGAAATATCAATAATACCATCAAAAGAAAGTTTCCGCATAGGACAGCAGAGCCTCTATTCACGGTGTTGGCTGAAAAGGTCCTTCATTCTCTTATTTATATATTTCCACTCGATATTTGAAGTTATGATTCCTAGCTATGATTTTCATTCCTTATGCCTAAGTGAACTTGACTATCAATTTCTTATTTGGCTAACTCTTAAATAAAGGCAATAGGGAAAGACCTTGACAATTTGAAATTTTGGATGTCGTCTCGCACGAATGAACGTGGTAGTGATGAAGAGATGATTGATGATATTTTGGCATGCAGAACTATCGCACTTTTTGTTGAATGGAATTGTAGTACTTCTCATCGTTATAGTTTTTATTTTCTGAGTGCAGGCTTATTTGAATGATGAACTTAACAAAATTCTCGCTGATAAAAGAACCCCGGTGGCACGTGAGGCTTTGTACCGCCATGCACTATGGGGAAAAGGAATCGAAATACGGTTGTTGATAGTGCTGCAAGCTTTGCCCACCCTCACAGTCATTGGACTGGAGGCCCCGATGGTCCTGATCTACAACAGCTTGCTGAGGACTATCAAAATGGTCTTGTTGAGATTAGGAAATTCATGTATGAATTTAGAACCGCCATGAGATGTCTGAAATTAGAACTATCCGCGCTAAGATGTCTGTTTTGTTGAATTCTTTGTTGTGTGCCTCAATACAAGGCCCTATAAGAATACATATCTCGCATATTATTTAGTTTTGCATTGTACCTCTCAGGGCTAATTATGTCATTTCATACTCACCTGTCTTGCAGAGATCTAGCCGTACCGATGGACAGTCAGAGTCGCCGGGGACCGAGATCTACAACTCATTGACAGTCTTTACATAACATCCACTACTAATACATCACCATCACCTTCGAGAACATTATTGACATCTGATAACATTTTTCATGTAGATCGAGGGTCTCGTGTCCTTCTGATCTCTCGTGGGTTGAAAAAATGCATTGTTGGTGATGAGGTGTTGCTGTTCGGCCCTACTCTAGGTTTGTGGTCGTCTTGCTGATGTTCTCTATATGAAAGCATTTTTTGTTCCAACCGTTTTGAGTAAAGCATCTTTTATGTCTATTAAGGAGTTAAAATAGTTATACATGATGTATGTGACAATGTTATTTATGTGAAACTGTAATTGGGTGGGTATTTGTTCCGTATAGCTTTGTTGGGTAGCATATACATTTATAATTTAAAGATTATAGTAGAGGTTGGTAGGTGAATTGATATCCCCAAACCATTTTGCTTTTTGTTCTAATTCAAAGTGTTTGGTATTTGGATACATTTACACTCAATTAATTATTATTTTTAAATCGAGACATGTCTAAGTTGGTTATTTAAACAAACAACTTTAATATGTATCCAATAAATTTATTATGTTGTTGGTTGTTTTATAATTGTGATGTTGTACAGATGTTGGTCCAGGTGTCATCAAGATATAGTTCACGCTATAATTATATTTATATTGTTCTATATTTTACAATTTTGATTACATTATTGTATGGATGGTTGGATTCGGCGAATCATCTCCAAACTTTTTTCTTACATATGTTGTAATGTTTGAGTTAATATCTTTAATATTTTATATTAATTAAATATTTTGTGAGTTTCATTTTGTTTATGAAGATATGCACATTTTTTCTTTATATGTACGTAGGTGATACCATTGACATAGTGAAGGGTTTTGTCATGGCTGCTACTGCCGGAGGGCGCGCTCCTTCTACGGACGATATCTGGAGCACAAACACTCGGTGAGGGTGTCCACGTCGAGCTAATCGACTGGACATTCAAAGATATATATAACTATATTTATAAGACTTTCTATTATATTATGTATAGAAAAGATATTAAATGTGACTTCATCTTTAAATATCTAGTTGATCCTTTGTCTGTGGATATAACATTTGGCCATCAATGGTCACTTGTGGGACTCGAATCCTAACAATAAGTCTTCATAAGTGAAAGTGTTGTATATCCTACAGCAAATTCATCTTTAATTATCTTCATTAAGTTTTTATCCTCATGTGTAATTACGCAATAAGGTTCTTTATGAAGTAATAAGGTTCTTTGTCCTTTATGCCAACTTTAAAAGATCCAAAAAAGAAAACTTAAAAGGTGGAAAATGACCATCTCTAGAAATTATACAGGGGAGAATCATGTCACTTCATTATTCTTTGTTCTTTCCAATCCTCTTGTGATAGGAGAATATACATTGTATTGAAATCTAACTTTACAATAGTAATAGTCTTTCTGCTATGGCAAGAGGACTTATAGTACCACAAAGAGCTTTTCAAAGCTCACATGCAGGTAAAACACTAATAATCAATCCATAATTGCAGGTGAAACACAAATAAACCACACGCATGTACAAAGGAGTTATGAAATTGTATAAGTACCACTCAAGTTTGTAATTGCTACTTAAATCACCAAATGCATATGTAAGTTACCAGATCCCTTAAAGGGATAACTTGATGATGTGAGGTAAGGGATAACTTGATGATGTGAGGTAAACTCATGATCGTAAAGTCATGCGTTCAAACTCTCGAAGCTTCTAGGTCTTATATGCTACAGATAGTTTTTAATTAGTACTGACTTGTTTTGTTGGGTTGACCGAAAGTTTCTCAGAACGCACTTTAGCAGCGATAAATTTCCACGTCATTATAAAAAAAAAAAAAAAAACTAAAAATAAAAATTACCAACTTATTCATGTTGCCAATAATAAGTACATTCAATGTGATCAAAATACTAACACGGGGATGGTCGGGTGGTGTAGAGGTTGGACTTGTGACCGTGAGGTCATGGACTAATGCTTTTAAATGAAACGATTTATATAAATATTACTAACAAAATACAAAATATTATTTTTATCTTAGCAATATAATTCTCTATCCTAAATAAAAACGCGGTACTAAAATTGATAAATTTTCATTTGAATTGAATCAAAATTGACAAAAAAATTTCAATTGAACCAAAATTGATAATTAAGATATTAAATGGTACCAAAAATAATTTTTGTTCTTTCAAAATTTTCACAAAATTCTCTAAAAATGATACTTTAAAAAAAATATTTGCAAGCCAAACTCCTTCCTCTTAAAAAGTATTTGCACAAAAACCCCTAAAAATGAATTTTGTGCAATATTTTCTATAACACTCGCAATGATATTGTCATGCAGTTTCTAAATCACAGAACAGAAAAAACTTTTCAAATGGGTGAGATATGAGTAATTTTGCAGTACAAGAATAAGCAAAACAAACAGACAGATACCTTAGCTAGTTCCGACCCCTGATGCTGATGCTGATGCTGATGCTGTTCAGTCCAATCCTATTTGCTAGTATTTTCTCTCCCTCAATTATACAAAGATTACAATCCAATTCAATCCAGAATGGAATAACAAAACACATATATGATATACATATATCTCTACAAGCAAAGCAGTGCTATAAAACAGAGCCAACAAATATCTACTTTACAAAATAGAAGCATTTCAACAAAAATGATCATCCCATACCATACCATACCTACAACAACAGATTCCCATTCAAAAGTGATCCAACAAATAGCATAAGATGGAATAACTACTACTTCACAGCATCAAGAACTAACTAATCAAGGGAGTCAAAAACAGGTTACATTTTGCATCAGAGAAACCAAATCCAATCACCATATAACCAGATCGAAGGCTTGTTATTTATATGCACATAATTATTAGCTCCAATTCATACCAGTAACTAGATGGAACTACAACAGAGAGATATAAAGTCTCAACTCCACTACAACACAAAAGGCCTTACCTAATCATCATGCTGCTTTCACAACCTTGTCATCAACAACATTAAGAATTGGAAGACTGCTTAGAAACTCGTCGAGCCCCTCAAAAAAACCGTTCCCCTCGATGTTGTCATCCTCTCCACGGGTTGCCCCGCTCCCTTGTGGCCCCCTTGGTGCAGCCGCTGCTGCCACCTCCTCCCCCTCATTGCTGCACTCCACGTTTAGATCCAATTTCCCAAAATTCTTTGCAGCCCGGCCTGGTTGCTTCCTAGCATTACTGCCCAACCCTTTTTTGCTCGACTCTCCTCCTTCTTGTTTGTCGCCGGTAGTATCCTCCCCTGGGGAAGATGTCACGCTCTTCCCTTTCTCAACTTGTGATTTCTTCGCACTCTTCCCTCTTGGTGCCTTTGATTTCTTCTTCTCTTTTCTATGATCCCAATTGTCATCATCGGAGTCACTCGAGTCTGAGAGATCAACAAAAACCTCATCATCGTCATCATCAACATAAACCCTAGGTGCTGAGCTCTTTTGGGACCCAGGATTCTTGGAACCTGTACCAGCTCCATTTGAAGGGCAACTGAACATAGGCGAGAAAGGAGTCCACATTGAGGAAGCAGCATTGCTCTTCTCCCATTTCTTCATCGAAAAGCCCAATGGCTGAAAGCCCCAACAACAAAAGTATCTTTCTTCTCCATCATTGTTTGGCGGTGGCGACGGAATCACCACTGCCTGGAATGCGCTGCTGCAATTCTGACACCGTAGAACACAATCCTCATATATTCTTGGATATTCATACATGTAATAACAATATGGGCAAGCCGTCCAAAATGGCGAAACACGGTCACTGTTCAACGGTGCTTCCGGAACCTCCTCCACATCACCCTCCTCTGCTTCGATATCTTCTTCATCTTCCTCAGCATTATCGCCAACATTATGGTTAGTTTTATTACCACCACTGCTGTAATTCTCTTGAGGCTGTTGTTCATTGTTGGTCTGGCCTGGGGTCAGCCCGGCGGCTGCGTTGCTACCAAATGTAGAGTAACTCTCGTGCGGGTGCTTATTCACTGTGTCATGGCTAGATTTCGAGCCCGGCCCATGCCCGAAAACAATATTAGAACCCGAAGTAAAATTCATGAAGTTTTGAGGATCTTGGGCAGATCCGCCGACCATTGGATCGGCCTGGGAACTTACTGGAGGATAAGCGGCGGGTTGAGGTTGATGAGCCGCGGCGCTGGATGTGGCTCCCCCGAAGAAATTGAAATTCTGGTGCATTGTAGAACTAGGGTTTCCGAATTGATCGATTTGTTGTGCCTGCTGCTGCGGCGGCTGGGTATAGAAAGCGAGTTCGCGATCGTACATCGTTTTCCGAGAGGGATTGGAAAGGACCGACCAGGATTCGAGGACGAGGCGGAACGCTTGCTCGGCGAAGGGGAATTTGTTCTTCTGCGGGTTGAGGAGGAGAGCGAGGCTCCGGTACTGGCTGGCGACGAGCTCAGCGTCGCGGCCCTGCTGCGGCGTTAGGCGGAGGATCGCGTAAAGATCCTGTTGGTTGTTTCCGATCCGCATGTCCCCGGCGAGGAGCGTATCCGCCACAGCCAGAATTTGGTCCGCCTGAGAGAGTGTGGGGTCGGCGTCGCGGGCCCGTGTGGCGAAGGACTTGCTCCCCATGAGGTCGCGCGTGGAGAGCAGCTTCTCGGCGATGGTCAGCCACCGTAGCGCCTCCGCGCGGGTGGTGGTGGTCGGGAAAAACGGGTGCTCCATTTTTCTTGCCCCAATTGAAGCGGCGAAATTAGGGCTGGGAAATTGGGGAAATGCTAATAGGGGATCCGGGAGGGACTAGAATTAAAAAGGGTTTGCAATTTGGAAAACCCCCGACCCCGAACAACAAAAAAAAAAAAAAAAAGAAACAAAAAGAATCAAAGAGGAAAGAAATATTAGATGGTAGCGGGAATGATTCAGGGGCTCGCAATGAATGGGTTAATTACTTAATTAATTAACTAATGGTCCCTGGGTTTGGGACTGCATCCCGACGGTCGGACGGTGCTTGGGTTTTCCCAGCGATTTATTATTCACTTACACTCCATCTGCTGCTGCCGCCTCGCCTCTTTCACACCCCTAACTTGTGTTCGAACGTATCATTTTATTCGATTGTATTATTCAATCATATATATATATATATTATATTTAAAGATTTAATATTATTTAATAAAATTAAAAAATATCATTGTAAATAGATCGATCAAAAATAAATAATTAATTAAATAAAATAAAATTTTAATTAATAAAAATTTATAAAAAAATATTTTTGATAGCTTATATTTTGTAAAATCCTATTTTTAATACAATTTTTTAAAAAATTTAAACATTGAATATTTAATAATAAATTAAATCTGATTTTCTTAAAATTGAAATTATATAATTTAAAATTATAAAATTTAAATAGTACAAAACAATAAAAATAAAAGATAAATAAAATATATATATACTACAAGATTGATTTCTCTTCATTTTTCTAAATATAAAAGATAAATAAAAATTGAAATAACTTTTTTTTTCAAGTTTCATTTTTCTTATCCAAATAAACAAGTAAAAAAAAAATATTTATATTTTTCTTCTATTATGTACCAAACACACCCTAAATGCATATTTTTTAAACTAAAATAAATACAAATATACATTTTGTATTTATTTAAATATTGAACAGCTTATACCATTAGAATAATATTTTGACTAATCAATAATTTTTATTTTTATTTTTTTATAACTCATTTTAACATTGTTGTCAGTGATTTAACTCCCAAGTTGAATGATATCATGCTATTTGAAAAATCTTCTTAGTTTTTCCTTCTTGCTCGTACATTGTTTCTCTTACAAATAGTTTGTTTATATTTTTTTAGTTTTATATTGTTTAATCATGGTATGATTATGTTTTTTTTATTTACGTACAATTTTCTTTATATTTGTATTGTGAAGTGGTACACGAGTTATATTGGAACACATGTCAAGACAATCTTTTGAGTTTGGTTTTGTTTCTTTCCGGGACCGGAAAGTAGTTACTATTTATTTTGTTGTACTTATTGTCTATACAAACTTTTAATTTCTAACATGTAAATACATTATATTTCCTTATGGGATGCACGTGATGTGATAAAAGATTCGACTAGTGAGATTAACTTATAAAGTGTTTATTAATATTTTCCTTGCACTTGATTCGCTAAAGAACATTTATATCACTGTTCTTTAAACAATTATGTAGGAAAATGGCTTAAAAACTAATAGATACATTGTAAATGAGTTACTACCACTGCTGAACAAGTAAGAATTTTTAATATCTATTATGCACTTCTATGAATGGGGATTTTCGATTTCAATAATGATATATATATCTTTATCATTTGTAGATTTATTTTGGTGCAGCAAACCAAAGTCTAATCTAGAAAATATGACTGCAAATAAGTAAAAAATTATACAAAAAGTAAAAGGTATTTTTTTGTTATATATTACAAAAATAGACTATTTTAATGTCTCATTCACATCCAAAAAATAAATAATTCTAATACGAGTCTACTAGGTAGATTATACAAAAGCAGATACATGTCTCATTCGCATTCAAAATATTATAAAATATTAAATTTTAAATTTCATATGTTAGGTTGTTCGTAAATGCTTAAAGCATTCAACAACAACCCAACATAATTATGGTTTCCTTCAAGTAATCTATGCATCCTCGAATCAATGTTGGTGTAACTTCTAGGGTCATTGGTAGCTCAAGATGTGGAATAAGTCCACATTTGTTCATGTGCAGAATATTATAATTGTTGTGGCCTTTAATCTTCGTAATATCAATCATATAACTTTGTAGGCTTAGGAACACATTATTCAATGTCTCAGGAGATAAACTTTCAAATAATATTCGTATAGCATCAACCAACTAATATATTGTATAATATTATTTCTCTATCTGAATGCTTTGGATAGCTCGAAACTAACCCAAATCATTCATATTAAGATTTGGGGAATTCGGATGTTGGTTAATTAAATGGATGTCAAACCTATCATTGTTTGCTGCTAACCTGAAATCAGCATCTTTATTGTGAATATGAGGTTTAGCATTGTCCTGTTGAATATAAATCGTATGACTAGAACATGTAGGCTATTTTTCTTTTATAGCTGGAATAATCTGCAAGTACTCCAAAATAATTATAGAAATTTTATCATGCTATCTTAAATTTTAAAAAGATCATTCTTAAATTATGTGAATCGATGTGTTACCTAATTGATTATACAGCCTTTGATAATATCTTTTGTGAATGAGTCAATTGTTTTTGTCTCCAAATTACCAACAAGTCTTGTTCTTACTCTTTCTCTTAGCTGGAATAGAATATGTGGAGGGAAATATCCTTATCTTCCCATCAAATAACACACTACTATCATGTGCAAAGTTAGGGCGACTAACATCGCGCATAAACATCACTTTTGCAATGAATTTTTTATTTTGGGAACTTTTGTGTGGTTTTGTTTCATTAGCTGTTAAGTAAAACCTTTGTGTCTCTCATGTCAAATAAAAACATTTTTTGTCAATATGAACAATATTTGTCATTTTCTTAAATTCCAAGACTTTTTTCATAGCTTCCCAAACAATCGATTCAAGTGAAAATCTAAGGCGTACTAACTTGTTTGGAGCTGTTAGAGATAGTTTTATGGCACTCGTGTGAGTTTTGAAATCTCCATTCTTAATCCAAAGCCAAACTATTGACTTAGAGCAGTGTATGACTGCAGCGAGCTTTCGTACAGTGCCTCGCTTACGTGGTTCAATACTTTCAATTAACTTGTAATTAACCATTTTCCTCGATCTTTTTTTTTATTTGCTCGCTTCACTAGACATATTGTTTCTCTCCGACTTTGTTGTTTATTTGTTTCTGACCATAAATAAGTCACAATATGTCTACAAACAGAAAAATGTTTCATTGCTTCTGCATACTTACCACGAATAGGTTTTTCATTCCTACAGTGTTGTAGTAAGAATCGATTAATTGCATTCTTTGTTTCAACAGTTACGTCTTTTTTTTTTCTCATTTGCAGAAATGATATGATCTAAACGGAGAAGAAACACCAGATGAAATCAAATTGAAACAGGTCATTTACAAGGTTTGGATGTTTTTTCCCTTATTTTTAAAGTCTGACCTGTCAATTGAAAAAAAAAATAGTGATAAAATTCACCAAATTTTAGTTTTTATGTATACATCTATTATAACTAATTATTCACCTATTTGTTATCCTCTCAAATGCTTTAGAGTTCAATAGAAAACTAACCATGACATATATGTGAATCTTGGTGCAAGTTTCAATCTTCTATTTTGGAGGTTGTCGTTGTTTTCTGCCGCAACTATGCTATAACATTATGTAAAAAACTTTTGGGTTTTCTGGAAGGAAAGAAGAGGCAATGCTTATGAATTAAATTAATGGTTTTTTTTTCTATTTTTTTTAAAGACTGTCTTTATTTTTTTAAAAAAATACACAAAAGAATTAAATTTTAAGTTGATAAAAATTTTTTATTTTTATAGATAATTAAATCAATAAATTATCTAAATAAAATATTATTTTTAAAAATTAATTACCACATCTTTTATTTTTTTAATATTAATTAATATAAAAAATAAATTTTAAAATTATTATAATTATTATGTCAATTAAATTTAAAATAATTAACTATATAATACTCCATCAATCCCAAAAGAATTGTTTTGTTTTTTCATTTTCATTCGTTCTAAAACAATTGTCTTGTTTTATTATTTAGTAACTGTCGTCTCCACTTTATAACAAAATTATTCCTACTTTTTCAAATTATTCATACTTATTACTCTAGCGTATTTTTTAAAAATCTTCAAAAAATCAAGGACATTTTAATTTTTACATTCTACTATTACTATTATTTCTATTCTTTTGTCAACTTCCAACGAAGCCTCTAGACTAGTACATAATTGTTTACTATCACATCACTTAAACATAAAATAATTAACTATTTATTACATCACTTTTTGATAATCGAGTCAAAAAGTTTGTGGCCAATGTAATGACGGAGAAAGTAATAAAAAAATTTATTACTCTCTCCGTCCTTTAACAATTTTTCTATTTTTCTATTTTGCTCTATTTCATAACAAAGTATTCATTTTATTTTTAGTAATTGTATTGTCTACCTAACATTAAAAATACACTTTCAATTTATAATATATTACACAAATGTCATTCCTTTTATATCTGTAATTGGAAAATACGAAATAGATCTAAAGTTTTATTAACGAAATCGAGTAAAAACACAAATATTAGACTAGTTTTGGTTAGGCTCAGCCCCTAACCACTCAAAACACTAAATCGACACACAAATCCACCTAACTAGCGACTACACACTTTAAACCGGCCCGAAACACACAATTCACGCAAAAATGAACCCCCTCAAGAACATACAAGGCGAAACAAACAAAAATACAAACGCCTAAAGGTTGAACGAGCCCTTTGCGACTACGAACAACAAACAGGGGGTGAAACACCACGCCAAAGAACCTCCACAAGTTACAGGAGGAAAGCGCCACCGAAAACCGCCGTGAAACCGCCGGAAAAAGTCACTGGGAATGCAAACAGAAAGGTCGAGAGAGAGGCAAGCTAGAGAGGGTGAGAGTGTAAAGAGGATTGTGAGTGAATAATGAGAGACGAACTCTCTCTCTATGTACAAGGTAATAAGCAACGGACGGCCAGGATGTAGATCCACAATGGCCAGCCACGATCAAGTCGAGGCAAAAGACGCTGATCCAAGGCGGATCGGGTCACGGGTCGCGGGTCCAGGTCCGGGTAGGTAAGTATGAATGCGGTTCAGGGTGGCGGTCACGGATCCAAAGGTGGGTGCGGGTCATGGGTCGGGGCCAGGGTCTAAAGTGAGCTGTATAATTAGGTGTATGTATCTTATATTATGGTAGATCTAATTGGATCAAAAAATTCAACAATATCATATAATACTAATAGGATTAATTTATTTTTTTACATTTATTTTTACTTTATTTTAATATAATACCGATAAAAATAACAAAGGATAGATATGGGAAGGACGTAGTATTATTTATTATAATAAAAATAATAAATTTGTGGTGAATTACGTCATATTGGGCGGACTGTCGGAGTAATATTCACTTATTAAGATATCTATTATCTGTTTAAATTTGACGAATTTTGAATTTACAATTTATCATCGTCGAGTCATCCCCGCGATGATATCCATCGGCGCCATCACAGCACCCTCTGTTCCCATTCCAATCTCTCCTCTCAAATCGCCCCTTTTCCTTCCCTATCTCCTGAATTCCCACCCAAATCCCATCCGAAGAATGGCATCCTTTGCCGGATTACCTTCCGGAGTAGGCGCAGCCTTTAATTCAGGTAGCAGCGGCGGCGGAATTAAGGTTCAGACATTGAGGGATTACATGGGAAGAGGGGGCGAAAACGTCGGAGACGAATTGATTGTGCTGTACGGTCACCTGGAGTATGCTTGCAAGAGGATCGCTGCGCTTGTGGCGTCGCCGTTCAATTCCAGCCTGGGTAAACAATTCAGTGGCAGCGAAACAGGCAGTGGCGGTGAGAGGGATAACCCTAAGCCACTTGACATTGTCGCAGTTAGTTTTCTCGCACATCTTTGTCTATTACGTAACAGAAATTTTCGCTGGCTTGTATAGGATATGTAGAATTACTTGCTTGCTGCTGATTGAGTGGATGGATTTTTTAATGGGGATTCGAATCTGTGTGTTCTATTAATTAGAAATGATTATGACTCCTGATTGGATTCGTGTAGCTGGAAGTGCTGCCATGGATTATTTAGTTCGAACAAATAAATGTGTGTAGTGAAACATGAGATTGTTTTCTTTAATTTTGAAGCAGAGTTGCTACATGCTAAGGGCTTAAGAGTAGATTTATTTTCTTTTTTGAAGAATTTGATGCTGAAGCCGATAAACATAGTTTCTCAAGAATCATTGTTCAAGCAAATCAATTCGGACAATTGGTGGGAATAGGCTGAAATCGAAACTGTGTGGCTTGAATACCTACCTTATCATTCATTTTGCACTTGCCATGTTAGGGATGAGTATTGAGTGGAACATAACTTGAGCTCATGGTAGCTCCGGGAGAAAAGAACTTTGATACTCAAAAGATTGCCGACGTTTTATGTTTATTTTTTGTATGTAAAAGTAGTTTAATGCTATAATATATTCAGCTTGATCTCAATCACTTTCAATTGTAAAGATCTATTTGTGAGCTTAATGAATATAACAAAAAAGATGTAAGCAATACTATCTTGTTAATCTTTGAATTATAAAGTTGTACATATGTGGACGTCGTAGAAGGAACTGACATTTGCTTCGACTACACCAAATGACAATAATATATTTTTGCTTTGCATTGCAGAATGAAATTATATTATCATCCTTGAAGAATTCTGGAAAAGTTGCAGTAATGGCTTCAGAAGAAGACGATGCTCCGATTTGGCTGTCTGATGATGGCCCTTTTGTAGTTGTTTTAGATCCTCTGGATGGTTCACGGAACATTGACGCCTCTATTCCTACCGGGACGATATTTGGCATCTACAAGCGCCTTGTGGAACTTGATCATCTTCCAGTTGAGGATAAGGCTACACTCAATTCCCTCCAGAGTGGAGCTAAGCTTATTGCTTCTGGCTATGTCCTTTATTCATCGGCTACCATTTTGTGCACGAGTTTTGGGTCAGGAACACATGGATTCACTCTCGACCATTCAACTGGAGACTTTGTTATGACACACCCAAACATAAGAATTCCTCCTCGAGGTAACTTTGATTTGATCTGTGCTGTTTATCTTTTATACAGGGAATAATGTCTTCGTTTGATCGTTGAATGATATCGGTAACGTGCTAAATTTTAGTGTCGATACTTGTTTTAAATTATTTTATAGTGTCGATACTTGTTTTAAATTATTTTATACTTTTTCGGTTGTGATTTGAAGTACAAATACCATTAATCATCTCACACAGTTTACACTTAAAATATTTTCTATCTCACAAAACATTGTATTAAAATATTCTTTAAAGAAAAATTCAAATGAATATCTTATTTTAAATTAATATCAAACCACAACCAAACAAACCAAATTAATTAGATGATATATGTGTGTAGTTAATATCCTTATGGCATACAAGATATTAGAGATGTATTGAATTTGAATTGTGTAGCCATATTTATTTAGACTGAAGAGTTGTTTGTATGTTTTTTTATGATCTAACATCCATTGGATGTGAGCCGGCAAAAACTAACATGACAAGGTAATCCTACATGAAATAATTGGATTTAGGTTAAAAATTTTGATCTAATTATGTATACATTAGATGTATGCAGGTCAACACAAAGCCTGCATGATAGTAAACAGGTCGATTTATGGTTGAAACCTTCAATTCGAATCCGATACAACAACTCGTTTATTATATATTAATATTAATTAATATATTTATTTTATATATAGAAGAATATTAATCTAATAATTCTTTTTATATTATTAATTCATGGATGAATATCTATGTTCTTAAAGTTTAGTGAATTATTGGTGTATGTTTCTTACTTGTGTCTTGTCGAATTGTCGTTATTTGTCTAGTATTATTGTTTAATTTGTGGATTTTAAATTGTAAATTCTTTTTAATGGGTAAATGGGTTGATTTCGGGGGTTTTTTAGCCTATTTAGAAAATTATTAAACGTGTTAACATGTCATTTTTTGGGTCAGTCAGGTTTGAACAGGTCGATTCTTCTGACTCGTTTAAATAAATAGGTCTATTTCGATAGGAAAATTTGACCCGTTTAAAAACTCACGACCCATTGCCAGCTAGTTGGTATAATAAGTATATGTATGATCTGCACATGTTTGCACAAGCTCGACATCTATGCAATTTTATTACTCTACTAGTAATGGCTTTCATACCTATTTAGCAATGGTAATGTTGTTCCAGGTCAAATATACTCGGTGAATGATGCTCGATACTTTGACTGGCCGGAGGGGCTAAGGCGATACATAGACACGGTGAGACAAGGGAAGGGCGAATATCCGAAGAAGTATTCAGCGCGATACATATGCTCTCTTGTTGCGGATTTCCACCGGACTTTGTTGTATGGCGGCATTGCGATGAACCCCAGGGATCATCTGCGGCTGGTGTACGAAGCGAATCCGCTAAGCTTCCTGTCGGAGCAAGCAGGAGGGCGAGGGTCGGACGGGAAGGACCGTATATTATCGGTGCAGCCGGTGAAGCTGCACCAAAGGCTGCCGCTGTTTCTGGGGAGCCCTGATGATGTTGAAGAGTTGGAGAGCTATGGGGAAGTCCAGCAGAAACTGAATCCTGGATATGATGTCTGAATTGAGTTCAATTCATTCACTCCCTCTTGTAAAAACACAAACTTGAATGTAAAGAATATATGTAATTAATTAGTAGATGAAAGCCTGCTGGTAAGAAAAATAGTTATACTTGCTCTGTAAAATAATTGTGCTACTTTTAGGCCATGATTTTTCAAGTAGTAGTATAATTTTGGGCGACGGCAAACCGGTTAACAACACATTGTATGTTAAAAGATGGTTAGGTGTGGCGTAGTGTAGGGGTTGGACGTGTGACTGTGAGGTCATAGGTTCAGACTTCGACGCCTCAGGTCACCTGTCACACATGGTTCGCCTAGTGTAACTTGTCTGTCGGGCTTAGTTTGCAGGATATTAGGTTCGGCAGAGGGTTTACCCGGTCCGCACTTTCGGGTAGCGACTGCGGGTTCTCACTTTATTAAAAAAAAATAAAAAAGAGATAGCACATAGCATTTCTTGTCGAGTATAGTTTGCAAACTATTAGATTCGGTCGGAGATTTACTCAAATCACACCCGAAGGATAGCGTATGTGGATTCCTATGTTGTATATATATATATATATAGCATATAACATTACTATAAATAATGCGCATCATATATATGTATACATGACACATTTTAAGTATGAATAAATAACACATATTTTTTATTTCACTTAGCATGTTATGTCTTAAACTCCGATAATTTTAATATATATATTTTTAGAAGTTTGTTACTTATTTATTTATTTGAATAGTTTTTGTCGATTACAAAAAATAATAATAATAATAATAATAATAATAATGGCAGTAGGATTCTGAATGGGTTTGAATATAAGCTAAAAGCTCAGAAGTCGGGCAAAAGAAGGTCGGACAAAGAAGGATGATTCGGCAGACACGGAGGAAATAATTTGCATCAACGTCGTGCACGGAGGTCAGGCAAGATAAGATCAGACACGGAGGTCGGACAGGATAAGGTCGGGCAAAGAAGGATGATTCGGCAGACACGGAGGAAATAATTTGCATCAAGGTCGGGCACGGAGGTCGGGCAAGATAAGATCAGACACGGAGGTCGGACAGGATAAGGTCGGGCAAAGAAGAATGATTCGGCATACACGGAGGTCGGACAAGATAAGGTTGGGCACGGAGATCGGACGTGATAAGGTCGGGCATGAAGGTCGGACAAGATAAGGTCGGGCACGGAGGTCAGACAAGATAAAGTCGGGCAAAGAAGGAGTATCGCCAGTCACGGAGGTCGGACAGGATAAGGTCGGGCAAAGAAGAAGTATCGGCAGACACGGAGGTCGGACAGGATAAGGTCGGGCAAAGAAGAAGATGAGACGGCCGATACGGAGGTCGGTCGAAAGAGGAAGTCGGGTGAAGAAGAATGAGACGGCTGATGCAAAGGTCGGTCAAAAAGAGGTCGGAAGAAAGGAAAGGTCTGTTAATTGGTCGGGCGAATTAAGGGTCAGTTGGTCACTTGCTTGGGCGACCAATGAATCGTCTGGACGAATGGTTTTTCAGCCGATTGAAGGGACCATATGGTGGTTGCTTGATTGGGCGACCAATGAATCGTGTTAACGAATGGTTGTTCAGCCGAGTTAAAGGACTATGTGGTAGTCGCTTTTTGGGCGATCAAGGAATCGTCTGGACGAATGGTTTTTCAGCTGATTAAAGGGACCAGATGGTGGTCGTTTGATTGGGCGACCAATGAGTCGTTTGGTCTAAGCGACCAGTTAGTATCTGGATTGGTCGGTTGGCCTGCGGTTCGTTTAAGGAGTCAGGGGTTATTTTGGGCGGTTGAGTAGCCGGTCGGGCCAGCCGCCCATTTAAGGCGGTAAGGTTTTCAGAGGCGGTCGGCCGAGCCTTTTGAGTGCTGTAACTGGCGCGAACGGTTGGTGAGTCGGTTAACATACGTGTCAACAGAGGAGGACCTGGTGGGCGGTTGACAGCGGTTGCTGTAACCGACCAGACGGCGGTTCAAACCGTTTCTTTGAAGGGTTATTTAAGGATTCATGTCTGTTCTGAGAAATCATCTTCAATCGACATCAAATTCAAGAGAATTGTTTTTGGGATCACCACTTTACTTTTTCAGTCCGTAGTTTTTATTTTTCTTATTTTACTTATGTATCCTACCGTGCTTAGGAATTCCTAATCTCAGGCATTTATTTTATCAAATTCGAAGATAATTTCTATTTTCGAATTTTACTTTTTGTTATTGAAAAATTGCACGAACTGTTTTATAGATTGTATTTAGAGGAATAACAAAATATATATATATATATATAAGTTGCAAAACTTTTAAGACATTTTAATAGTGTGTTTTTTTTTACTTGTTTCAGTTTTGCACTGTTGTGTAGGTTGGTACGAGCATAAAATTAAATTTATCCGACAATTTCTGCATGGCTAGGTTAGGGGCCCCGCAAAATTTCAATAAGTTAATTGCTTGATTAATTTAAGAATTATTATTTAATAAAATATATATCTCATTTATAAATAATAAAACTTTTATAACACAATTTAATAATCAAATTATACAATTACTAATTTAATATAATTTACATTTATACAATTATATTAAAATTCTTCAAACTCAAAACCAAATATATAAACCTAAATAAACACAAAATTCCAAATTCATGTGAAGGCTTAAATTCTATCAAAATCAAAACTCAAATACTCTAACTTCTTCTTCTTAAAAAGAAACACACCCTAAATTAATAAGATTATGGATCATATGCTAAGATTATATTTCAATTCAGCATTGCTAATATAATCTCAACCACTAATTTTGTATTTATAATAATAATTATAAAAAAATAAATAAAATTAAGGGTTATGATTATTACCAGCACAGCTGATTCTTATGGATTCAGCCTGAGATCTATATTGAATTAATAATAATAGCAAAAAATTCAAACAACAAGAATAGTTAATTTATAAATTTACCATTTAATTGAACATACTATCTTAGTCCTACATATAATTTACGGTTTTTATTTTTGTACTCCCTACATTTTATATCATTTTTTTTTATATATAAAATATTATACATTTTAAATTTTTTAATTTATAATTTTTTTAATCTTAATTAGATTAATTAATTATTTTAATTTTAATTTATAATATGCATTATACTATGCTTATTTTTATTAATATATTTTTAATTAATTATTAATTATATATCTTTTAAATTTATATGTTTACCGTAACTGTGATGTTATATTCAAAATGAGGGACTATTTGATAAGAAAGGTAGCATTTGTTGAATAAAGCTAATAGTCTTGAAGAGTGATAGCTAGTTTTTTTTTTTAGAGATAATATGTATTCTAGATTGCAAATTAATAATAGCTTTGTGTTGTAGTCTAAAGATAACTTAAATAATACTTTCTCCCTTCCTTCTAAATATGACATAATATCGAGGCATGGAGACTAAAAAATAATATTTTCTTCGTCCTAATTCAATCGTAATGTTTTATCATTTTTGTTTGTTTTAAAATAATAGTTTTATTTTCATAAATAAACATACATTTAAACTAACACACTTATAAAGGCAAAAAGATATTGTTTTATTCGTATTTTCTACCGACTACTAATATAATATCAATATTTTTTAAATTTCATAGTCAACAATAAAACTATTTTTCTGAAACTAAGGGAGAAATATTTTAATGTAAAAGTATTATAGGTAAAAAGTAAAGTCAGTGCATTATAAAATATTATTATTGTTGTTGTTAAATTATAAGTAGTGAAATTATAAGTAGATAAATTGTTTACTATAAATAAATTATGTATAAATTTAGCGGGCGATAAAAAAGAAGTATGATATAATTCTCCCGAACGAAAGAAATAATTTTTTCCGATGATGAACGATGAGTATCGGCTTGAACTTAAAAATAAAATAAAATAAAATAAAAAGAGAAGATTCAAGCACGAGTATATATATATATATATATATACGTGAGTCCATGAAATTTCGAAATAAAATTTAATCTAGTTAACTAAAATTTCTAAGCGCAAAAAGATTAATGTGGAGATGTTCTATCGTTTGTAGATAATGGAAATATATTTGTGACTTGGAACTAAAAACAAATGTACAAGGAGTACAATATTTAGCTATTTTTCATTTCGCAAGCTATATTTTTTTTTGTTTTTTTGTCAAAGTGTTTTTTAAATACTGCATCCGTTTCACATTGGATGTCTTTGTTAATGTAGACACGAAAATTTATGATAAGTATAATTAATAGATAATTAACAATGTATTAATAAAAATAATTATCCTATAATATAAATTATTATAGATTAAAATTAAAATAATTAATTAATTTAATTAAAATTAAAAAATTTCAAAATAAAAAATTTAAAATTAGATTAAGGTGTGTAATCATTTTCTAAAAAATGAAAGTGACATGAGATGTGAGACGAACATAAACGAAAATGTGGACATAATAAATGAGATGAAGAAAGTATAATTTATTATAATGGAACAAGAAGGGAAGTACAAGAAGGGACTAGGCTATTACAACAACTAAAGTGCGCCTAAGGACGTACTTACATCAGTTAATACAATACATAATATATATTTTATTCACTTATAAAAATTAAATATTTAATTTAAAATATTATTTTTTATAATATTAACATAACTTATCATATCTAACAAAAAAATTAAAAAATCTCATAAAACCACCTACATGAATTAATATTATATATATATATATAAACATCTTACAAAAGGTCCACGATAACACTTACAAAAATCAACCCCAACAAATTAACCAAATCAAAAGTTCGAGGGAGCTTAGAATCCAACAAAGCCCAATGAATATAGGTTTTAGTACAACACACGGGCCAATATAATAAAAAGCTCAACAATGCAGTCTGATCTTAGCCCAACAAATAAGCCCAAATCCAAACAGCCCTAATTATCCGATGGTTCAACAAAAACCCAAACCTCTCCGCAAAGACAATACAAATTGCGTTAGGCCATGACAAAAATAAAAACCCTAACCCAAAATGGATCCACCATTAGCCCAAAACCAAAAAAGAGACCAAATTTTTTATTTCAAGATTCAAAATACCTATTACAAATTTTATAGTTTTCTTTAGATAGAAAATTTCCTAAACAATGACAGAAATATATATTAAAGAAAAACTTCAAATAAGAAAAAATGATATAAAATGCTATGTATAAATTACTTTTATAGTAGATGAGAAATCTCATCAATTAAGATAA